TGCTGCTGCTTTCCTGCCTCCCTGCTTTTCCGGCTGGTCTGTGAAAAAGTGAGAGGCAAGGACGACAAGTGGCGACAATAACTGCAAAAACAACAACTACATTCTGTCTGTTCAATCTGTCTGTCTCAAAGATTACCAAATAATAAAAAGTTTCACTGTTCCAAGCACGTTGTCACGTCTCTCTTTTTACTCAATCAAAACCGATTCACAGTCGATTCTTGCGCACCATCTTGGCGACGTACATGACAATGCTGGTGTAGGCGATGAAAAACTGTTGACAGAAATAGAAAAGGCTTTGAATGACAGACTGAAAACTCTGGCAAATAACTCACCTCACAGAGACTCTTCTTGCTGATGCGTCCCAGTGCGCCGATGGTGAAGCGAAAGTCATCCCTCGAGGAGACGCCCCCTGCTCCGCCGGCCACCTGCTCGTAGAAGGTGTTCAGCTTCAGCTTGGCCATGCTCAGCAGCGTCCGCTTGTACAGCAGCTGGTGGTGGTGGTCACCCAGCTTTTCCTCCTCACTCTTCAACAGGTACAGCTGCGCCCTGAAGAGCAGCCGATCGGAGACGGCCAGACAGTCCGACCAGCGAATGAGGGCGAGGGAGGCGAGCAGGCCGAGCAGCGTCTGCAGGCCGACCACCACCACCATGACCAGGCGTTCGGCCGCGGAGGGCGCCCGGAAGAGGAGGTGCCCGATGATGACCACATTGAGGGCAATGTTGGAGAGGAAGGCGGCGGCCATCAGCTGGCTGATCACCGTCCGGTCGGTGTGCCAGGCGAGCCAGCGCAGCCGGCGGTACTCGCCGTAGAAGAGGCCCAGAAAGCGGTACCGGAACATGGTCAGCGTCGACTGGCTGACGGCGATGCGCAGCGACTCGTTCATCTCCGCCATGTGCGCATTGCCCAGAAAGCTGAAGAGCGCCAGCAGGTGAATGGCGAAGAGACCGAGGCGGACGGCCATCCACAGGCTGAGGAGGAGGAAGGCCAGCTCGAGCACCGAAAGGAGGAGTGTCAGGGTCAGGGTAGCAGTGCAGCACTGCTCACTGCTTTCAAAGTGAGGCAGAAGAGTGCTGGTGAAGAAGGCCACGCCGAGGAGGCTGAGAAAGAGGACTGCTTGGACGGAGGAGAAGGAGGAGGAGAGGAGAAACTGGACATTAGAAAGGGTGAACACCTCATTTTCGAACGCCTACAAATAGATGGGGCCGCTTACAGAGAAGGACATTAAAGGCGGCAATGGCCACCTCAAAGAGCGTCGAGTAGACGACCAGCCGAGCGCGCAGCTTCAAGCTGAGGTGGGGAAAGCTCTCCAGCGTCTCCCGGTGAAAGCGCAGACTGAGGCAGATCCAGATCTCGCGCACCAGTCGCCGGTAGCTGCCGTAGAGGCGCCAGAAGTTGCGCAAAGCAAGCTCGGGCGGCCAGTGGAATCGCCGGCGGTTGAGCAGCCTAAAGTGACGGCCATTCTCGACGACCAGCTCGTGGAGGACCTGCAGGAGGACCGGGTCGACTCTGATGTGCAGCGAGAGGTCGATGTGAGCCGCAAAGACGCACAGCAGACAGGCCGCCCTCAGGGTGATGGGACTGGCGACGAAGCGGTACTGTAGCATCGCCGCACAGACCACCGGGTTCCAGGGAAGGTGGGCGGCCACCTCTGCTCGACTGCTCAAAATCGAGGGGTAGTAGATGCGCACCATGAGAGCGGCCAGGCTGAGGTACTGCACCGCCTTCAGGCGGTGAAAGGTGACCAGCCGATGACCAGTGTAGTTTGGGTGGCAGCACTTTAGCTGGTGCAGGTAGGACAGTAGGCGGCTGGTGCGCAGACAGAACAGGTGACGCAGGAAGGTGAGCAGGTGGCTGGAGAGGTTGAAGGCTCTTTGAGATTTCTTGTGCCAGATGAAGGGCTCCATTGGAGAGAATGGTGGAGGAAAGAAAGGGATGAGAATAGGCTCTCTGGGCAATTGCTTCACACAATGCAATGCAATTCGGGCAGCTGCTCTTGACTGTTGAAAATTCCGTTGCAGTCTCTGTCCTCGAGTACCTTCTTGAACCGGTATTGATTGTGCCTTTCTGCTGACTTTTCAGTTAAGATATGGTGGCGACGTTTTGAGCAGAAGAGAGGAGAGAATGCTTTTTCCTATTAAATATATTTGTGTCTTATTATATTTTGTGGCTGATAAATGGACTTTTGCTGCTGCTGTTGGTGCAGTTGCCGATGACACAACAAACTACTCGGTAGAGATTGCAAAGAGTACAAACTTTAAATATGAATTGCTGCGTTGACTTGTTTAATTTTTGCAGATTTTAAGTAAACTTTAAATTTGTAAAATTAGAAATGGTTGTTGCTGCCTTTTTTCATTTTGAGTGCTTGAATAACTTTGAAGCAATTACCATTTTTACTATAGCAACAATACTAGCGTAGGTGAAAATTCATTAATATTTTTAATGAACTTTATTGGCAAAAACAACTACCAAATAAATGTTAACAACTTCTACTTTCCACTTTCAACCAAATGGTAAATACTTGGCAAAAAAGTCCAACATAAACATTTTTGGCTTTTTAGATAACAGGTAAAACAGATGCAGACTAATTAAAAGGGAGAACAGCATTTGCAAAACAACTAAAAACGGGTAAAGCAGAACGGGGTTTGGGCTATACCAAAATACACACACTTTTTCTCGGACGCATTCCAAACAGACACAAAATTGAAACAGCCCAATTAGCTGAATGGCAGCAGACATAAAGATACAAACTTGCGAGAACACTGGTTAAGGAGTGTGAAAGCCACCGAAAAGTGACAACAATGTACAGCAATTACTTTAGCCGTTGCCAAGAGCAAAGGGGGCAGCAGCAGAAGCTAAATACCTGCAAAAGTGGCAACAACAAATTACCCGCACCACTTTTGCTGACCTTTTTGTTGTTGCCTATTTTACATTCACTTTTCTCAGCTTTTCTCTTTCTCCCGATGCTGATAACTAAACCACGGCGGCGGCGGTGACGGTGATTATCCGGGTTATTACATGAGTTTTTCAAGAGCAAAGAGAGAGAGAACGCCAAAAGTCGACGTTTGGTATATAAGCTCAGCGGTAGCGGGCTCAGAGCAAGTCAAGCCAAGTCAAGCCAAGTCAACTTTGCAAGCAGCTTCCAATCAAGCCCAAATCAGCCCCAACTTCAAACACTAGCAATGGCCTCCCTCAAGAGCATCTTCTCCTTCTTCCTGCTCGCCGTGGCGTTGATCTGCTCGGCGTTGAGCGGCATCGCCGAGGCCGGCGACAAGGGCGGCGATGTGATCATCATCGGCGCCGATGGTGGCCCCAACGGAGGTGGAGCTTTTGGTGGAAATGGATTCGGCGGTGCCTTCGGTGGTGCCAATGGTAAGCTCAGCTGTTGAAGACTTCTTAAAATCTGTTGAACTAAACAAAGTTTTTATTAATTAGGCGCCTTTGCCTTTGGACGTCGTCGATAAGGATAAAGTGGTACTTAACAGCTTGTTGGAATCATCATCATCATCACACACCCACACACACAACTAACAATATTCTCGGCTGGACTGTGAAATTAGAAAACTCTTTGTATTTGCTAACAAGTTAGAAAACTATACATTAAAACTCCCATTAAATCAATTATTCATTTGCGCAGATCATCGATCAACAAAGAACTGATCTAAAGCAAAGTGCATTTACACCCAAACTGATCCTTGTCCTCTGGTAGAAAAGCTGAAGATGTTAGTGAGGTGAGGTGAAGTGTTTGAAGTTCGAAATGGAAGATAGAAATCGTTGAGACGCCCAGTGTTTGTTCCGCTTCGCTGACAAGTGAAAGCACGCTGTTTTGAGCGGGAAAACATGTAGGCCTGCCGGTCTGGCAAAAAACGCAACATTTTGGTGAGCCGCACACAGAGTACGTGACGCGGATTTAGCGCCACCAGTTGCACTTGGTGACTTTTGGAACTACAGCTTCCTCACCAGGGCCAATAGATGGCGCTCCCAGCTTTTAAAACAAAAGTGAGCGACGCCGCTGTCGCCATCTATCGGCCCTGGTGAAGAAGCTGTAGTCAAGTCAGCAACTGTACAGCTAAAGGTTAAAGGCGGTGGCCAATTGAGAGATAAGATATCACAGAGAGTGTCACCTTCAAAAGTAGCAGCAAAATGATAATCAGTGCTTTTTCCATTTTGTGATTTTCAAATGTAACAATTTAGTGCTGTGAAAGAGTACGAAATGTACGTCGCCAACACTTAATTGCAATCATCACTTTTTTTAAGCAGTGTTATCAAAAAGGAAAAAGGGTTTTCAATTTATAATCTGTTTGTCTAATAAATAAATAGATAAGTTGGCGATTGCAAATGCAGTATTTTGTAAACTACAGCTTGCAAAGTCAAGTCAACAAAGGTCAACAAGTGTAGGCAGCAGAGCAGCGATAGCAGCAGAGTACTTACTGATTATTATTTACTGATGTTTTTTGTTAATTAATTTATGCTAACAAATAATTACCAGTAAAACAGTTAAACAAACGAACACTCTACGTTTATTGATGCTCCTGACTGTGCACGTGAAAAGGGGATCATATAAACTGTAGGAAAAGCACTTGGAGTAAACAACAACAATCATCATTGCTTCAAAGCAGCTTTTCCATCATTACAGCTCAAGTTAATACCCAAAGCAAAATGGAGTGGACGACAACTCTCGCTGTTCAAGCTGTGGCCGCCCTGGCAGTTCTCTTTTATTTGTAAATGTCAAGCAATCTGCTCTCTCAAAATATCTAGTTTTTTTCACATTTCTTCCCTTTTTTTCAGCTACGTCAAACAAAAACTGTCCTACTGGTCATCGAAGGGCGTGCCCCACCTTCCGCCCTCTCTCTGGACGCTGGGCATCAACTTCCGGCCCTTCACCGAGGGCCCTGAACAGTACACCCGAGAGCGGACGGCCTTGTACGGCAAAGTGTACGGCGCCTACGGCCTGTTGAACCCATTTCTCATCGTCAATGACGCCCAGCTGATCAAGCAGATCATGGTGAAGGACTTTACGCTGTTCATGGACAAGCCCGAACTGAACACCTGGGACAGGGTGTGGAACCGCAACCTCTTCGTCACCGGCGGCGACTCCTGGAAGCGCATCAGAACCATTGTCAGGTAGGTGAAGTGATTTGGAGGAGATAGATTGCAACAATTAAAACAGCTGATCCATTTTCACAACTCTTCTTGAAGTCCGACCTTCACTTCGGGCAAACTGCGCGCCATGCACCTGATGATGGATCAGTGCGTGAAGGTGCTGATTGGCAATCTGGAACAGGTCGCCAGCAGTCCGTCAGCAGTGATCAACGCCAAGGACATCTTCACTGGCTTCACCATTGATGTAAGCCTCAATCAAAGTTGAAGTAGTTCAATGTAACTAATATTTTTCTGATTTTTGTTTGCAAGGTCATCGCCTCGACCTGCTTCTCAACAGCGACTAATGCCACCACAGCAGCAGCGAGCCCCTTTGTAAAGCACGGCGTCGGCCTCTTCAGCTTCATGCCGCTGAAGACCTTCTCCGCGACGCTCCTACCTCGATGGTTCAACAGCCTCATTGGCAATCGGTCCACCTTTGATCCGGAGCACTTTGATTTCTTCGCCAACCTAGTCAAAGAAGTCGTAAGGCAGAGACAATCGGGAAGTGATAGTGGTCGTGGAAACGACTTTATACAGCTGTTGATTGATGCCGCCAGGAGTGAGGGGCAAGGTAAGAGACTTGGCATTGCATTTAAATGAAAGTTTAATTGTAGCACTGTTTTTCAGCTGAAAATGACCTGACAAAAAGTACGCTTATCACTGAGGCGGAAATCATCGGACAGTGCTTCATCTTTTTCATTGCAGGTACTAAACACTTTACTTTCTTTTTCTTTTCAATGTAAAACTAACCAGACATTTTTGTCCACTTCCCAACCACACTACAACTAATCAAAAGGGTAAGTCTACTACTAACAAATCAAACAAAACACCCAAACACTCTTAACACTCTTCATATTTTATTTATTTGCCAGCTTCGAAACGACCTCGAGCACCATCACCCACCTGCTCTTTGAGCTGGCGCACAACCCCGCCATTGAGGAGCGCCTTCGCGGCGAACTGGAGGCCAAACTGGGCCACTTTGGCAAAGACCAAGTCACCTCCAATGAGTACTTCGACACGGTGATGAACCAGCTGCCGTACCTGGAGGCGACCATCAAGGAGACGCTGAGGCGATATCCGCCCCTCATTCAGGTGGAACGACGCCTCAAGGAGGGCGTGACCGGGTACAAACTGGGCGAAGAGGAGGAAGGCGGCGGCGGCGGCATTCCCCTGGAGGCGGGCACCTCCGTCATCAGCTGCGTCTACTCGGTGCACAACAACCCGCAGTACTACCCCCAGCCGGACCGTTTCCGCCCGGAGCGATTTCTGCCGGAGAACCGGCACCACCTGGTCCCCTACGCCTTCCTGCCCTTCGGGGCGGGACCGAGGCAATGTCTGGGCATGCGTTTCGCCTATCAGGAGATGAAGCTGCTGCTGGCGCAGCTGCTCAGGCGCTTCAGCTTTGGCCTGGCGGAAGGTACGCCACGGTCGCTGCGATTCAACGAAGGGTCGCTCTTTCTGACGCCGCAGCCCTTTCAGTTGAAGGTGGTGGAGCGGCTGGTGGTGGAGCAGTGATGCGGTGACGCAATAAACACTCTTTTCCTCAACCTTAACAGTGTCTCACTGATTTTCAGTAGCTTATAACAGAAATCACATAAAGGGGAGTTAGCAACCAGCCACAGACAGTTTAAATTCAATCAGACAAGCGCATCGGTTGCAATTGAACGAACGACGATAAGTGTGTGATCAGATAGTGATAGGAAGAGGTAACGTAACAGTGGCAGTAGTGGCAGCCACTGTGCAACCAATTTGTGCCCACACAAGAGAAAGGAATGCTAATGCACAATTGCCATCGACACGTGAGTAAGCGCAGAGGTGTATCGGCCTGTCAGTCGGTCGGCGTTTATGTGTGTGCTCAAACTCTCAAAAACGTTGTGTCACTCCGAACCTCAAATTGACAGAGTGTGATCAGTGAGCAACAAAACTGTGTGAAGAAGTGTGAAGCATTTGAGCAGCACCTCGATCTACTCCGAAAGCTAATGATGAGTGCCAACAAAATCAAGTTTGCCAATCTCGAGAATGAGGCGGAGGAGGATCCGTCAGCAGAACCACCTGAAACCACTGCCGCCTCCGGTGGTGACAAGGTAAGTGTCCACTGCAAACAACGAAATGATCTTCCAATAAAGCAACTCTCCACCAGAAGGAGGACCGCATCGACGAGCACCTGCTGAACATCCTGGAGGTGTGCGTGAAGCACACGGTGGACCGGCGAGCGGGCCTCACCTCCGTCGAGGTGGCCGCCCGCCTCGCCCGGGACGGCCCCAACTGCTTCACGCCGCCCCGAGAGACGCCCTGGTACGTGCTCTTCCTCCGCGAGATGACCACCGGCTTCGCCCTGCTCCTCTGGTTCGCCGGCCTCGCCAGCTTCGTCTCCTTTGCATTTGACCGCAATCCGCAGGATGTAAGAGAGAGAGAGAGAGAGAGCGAGCGGTTGATCTGTTGGCCTTGTTACCGTTTCTAACTCCCTCGAATCTTCCTCTTCTTCTTCTCCTTCAGGCGTACCTCGGTCTGATTCTCGTCTTCACCGTCGTCCTCACCGGCTCCTTCAGCTACTACCAGACGGCCAGCTCCAGCAAGGTCTTCCGCAGCTTCAAGAACATGACGCCGCAGTCGGCCTATGTCCTGCGAAACGGCGGCCGCAAGGTGCAGGTGCCCGCGGAGGAGCTCGTCGTCGGGGACATTGTCTTCTGCCAGGCGGGCGACCGCATCCCCGCGGACATCAGGGTGATCGTCAGCGACTCAATGAAGGTCGACAACAGCTCCATCACCGGCGAGTCGGAGCCCCTGTTGAGGACCATTGAACCGTTGGCTTCCGGCTCCGCCCTGGAGGCCTCCAACCTCGCCTTCTTCAGCACCAACTGCACTGATGGGTCGGGCGTGGGCGTGGTGATCGCCACCGGCGACCGGACGGTGATGGGCGACATCGCCTCCCTGGTCTCGAACATCGCCCACGGGCAGACGCCGATCGCCCGTGAGATCAGCCACTTCGTGAAGATCATCACCCTCATCTCGGTGGTGAGCGGCGTCGCCTTCGCCGGCATCTACCTCCTCCTGGGGACCAGCTTCTTCAAGGCCTTCCTCTTCATGATCGGCATCACCGTGGGCAACGTGCCCGAGGGCCTGCTGCCGGCGTTGACCGTCGCCCTGACGCTGACCGCCAAGCGAATGGCCGCCAAGCGGTGTCTGGTGAAGCACCTGGAGGCGGTGGAGACGCTGGGCAGCACCTCGACCATCTGCACGGACAAGACGGGCACGCTGACGCAGAACCGCATGACAGTGGAGCACCTGTGGTTCGGCGGGGAGACGTACGTCTTCAGGGAGGGCGCCATGAGGCACGACGTCTACAGCAGAGAGCAGGTGGAGGGGAGGGCCACCTGGCAGGCGCTCAAACGATGCGCCATGCTCTGCTCCAGGGCGGAGTTTTTGGATGAAGTTGAGGAGGAGGAGGAGAAGGAAGAAAAGAAGGAAAAGGTGGAGATCGAGGAGCGACCCACGGCGGGCGACGCCTCTGAGACGGCCATTCTGAAGTTCCTGGAGCGGGCGTCCGGCGACCGGGTCTCCGAGTACCGCTCCCGGCACCCGAAAGTGGCGGAGAAGCCCTTCAGCTCCTCGCTCAAGTACGCCTACAGCGTCCACCAGCGCTGGCACCCGCAGAGCGGCCTCTTCGAGGGCCACTTTCTGGTGCTCAAAGGCGCCCCGGAGCGGGTGCTCGCCCTCTGCGGCAGTCGGCTGGCGGACGCCTCCTCCTCCTCCTCCGGCGAAACGGTTCCCCTCGATGACCTCTTTCTGGCTCAGTTTGAGGAGACCTATCGCCAGTACGGCTCCGAGGGGGAGCGGGTGCTCGCCTTTGCCGACCTGGAGCTGGACCCCGACCAATTTGGCGCCGACTTCAGGTTCATCTCCGCCACGCTGGAGCAGACCGTCCGCCTGGAGGGGACGCTCCGCTTTCTGGGCCTCGTCTCCATGATGGACCCGCCGCGACCGAGTGTTCCCCAGGCCGTCAGGACCTGTCGCGAGGCGGGCATCCGCGTGGTGATGGTCACCGGGGATCACCCCATCACGGCGCAGGCCATCGCCAAGGCGGTCAACATCATCTCGGCGCCGCACCGCCAGACGACCATCCTCTCGCTCACCTCGACGGTGTCCACTTCGGAGGCTGTTGATAAAGAAGGAGGCAGTGGTGGTGAAGGGAACAAGTCGATAGTCATCCCCGGTGACGAGCTGGCTTCGATGTCTCCCGATTCACTTGAGGAGACCCTTCTCCTCTACTCGGAGATCGTCTTCGCGCGGACCACGCCCCAGCAGAAGCTGCAAATCGTGGAGACCTTTCAGCGGCTGGGCGAGGTGGTGGCCGTCACCGGGGACGGCGTCAACGACTCGCCGGCGCTGAAGAAGGCCGACATCGGCATCGCCATGGGCATCAGCGGCAGCGAGGTGTCGAAGCAGGCGGCGGACATGATCCTCCTCGATGACAACTTCGCCACCATTGTCGTGGGCATTGAGGAGGGCCGGCGGATCTTCGACAACATGAAGAAGACGGTCAGCTACATCCTGGGCGGAAATTGGTAAGTGGGAAAGCTCACTGATTTCGGTAATGTTTACCCTTTTTGTTTACCCTTTGCTTCTGAATGGCCCACAGCACGACCATCTACCCGTTCGTCGTCTACGGAGTGACCGGCGTCCCGCTGGCCATCAGCACCATCACCGCCCTGCTGATCTCCCTCGGCACGGACATCGTGCCGGCGGTGTCGCTCAGCTATGAGCCCGCCGAGGGCGACATCATGGCGATCAAGCCGCGGGATGCAAAGCGAGATAGACTGGTGGACAAGCGGCTGCTGGTGCGGGCGTACGCCTACATCGGCGTGATGGCCAGTGTGGCCGCCTATGGCGGGTATTTTGTGACGATGTACCTCCATGGGTACACGCCGGCGATGCTCTGGCAGTCGAGGAAGCAGTGGGAGGACGTCGGGGGAGATTTTCCGAGGATTGTCGGCCATGAGAAGGAAAGTGGGGCGGCCATTTATGAGGCGACGGTGAGTGGCGAAAGTGGTGAAAGTGGAGTTTGGAAGTGTGTTTGATCGAGCTTCTCTCTACGACCAAATCAATAATAGACCTACGACCAGCGGAATGGCTTTCTGCAGGAGGCGCAGTCGGCCTACTTCTGCGGCATCATCGTCGCCCAGTGGATCGACGTCATCGTCTGCAAGACCAGGCGGGTGTCCATCTTCAATCACGGAATGAGGTGAGCGCTTTGGTGGTGGTGGTGGTGGTGGTGGAGGGAATCACTCAATTTTTGACAACTCTTTTTTCCACAATAGAAACATGGTCCTCAACGCGGCGCTCCTCTTCGAGACGGCCCTGGCCGCCTTCGTCATCTACGTGCCCTTTATGAATGACGTCCTGCAGACGGCCCCGGTCAGCTGGTACAGCTGGCTCTGTACGCTGCCGGTCATCGGGGTGATGCTGCTGATGGAGGAGACGAGGAAGAGGATCATCAGGGCGTATCCGGACACCAAGTGGGGAAAGGCACTGCTCGTGTAGATGTACTAAAAAACTTAGAAATCTGTTTATCAATTTAGTGTTTTGCAATTCAACTAGTAAAGATAACAAAGAGTCTTGGAACCAGTCTTCAAAGATTGATAGTCGATGATCATCTGCCTGAGATGAGCGCAGATCATCGATCAACAAAGAACAGGTTAAAGTGCACTTACCCACAAACTGGTCCTTGTCCTCTGGTAGAAGAAGTGAAGAAGGATGTGAGGATGACAGTGAGGTGAGATGAAGTGTTTAGCTGAGACGCCCAGTGTTTGTTCCGCTTTGCTGACCAGGGGAAGCACGCTGTTTTGAGCGGGAAAACATGTAGGCCTGCCGGTCTGGCAGAAAACGCGGCATTTTGGTGAGCCGCACACAGAGTACGTGACGCGGATTTAGCGCCACCAGTTGCACTTGGTGACTTTTGGAACTACAGCTTCTCCACCAGGGCTAATAGATGGCGCTCCGAGCTTTTAAAAACAAAAATGAACGACGCCGCTGTCGCCATCTATCCGCACTGGCGGAGAAGTTTTTGTTTTACTTACTTATACTTCTACACTAGTGCGGATAGATGGCGACAGCGGCGTCGTTCATTTTTGTTTTTAAAAGCTGGAAACGCCATCTATTGGTCCTAGTGAGGAAACTGTAGTTCCAAAAGTCACCAAGTGCAACTGGTGGCGCTAAAATCGCGTCACGTACTCTGTGTGCGGCTCACCAAAATGCCGCGTTTTCTGCCAGACCGGCAGGCCTACATGTTTTCCCGCTCAAAACAGCGTGCTTCCCCTGGTCAGCAAAGCGGAACAAACACTGGGCGTCTCAACGATTTCTATCTTCCATTTCGAACTTCAAACACTTCACCTCACCTCACCAACATCTTCAGCTCTTCTACCAGAGGACAAGGATCAGTTTGGGGGTAAATGCACTTTGCTTTGGATCTGTTCTTTGTTGATCGATGATTTGCGCACATCTCAGGCAGATGATCATCGAAGATCATTATTTTTTTCAAGATTAATTTCAAAGTACTTTTTGTTATCAGTGATATCTTTACTAGTTGTTCTGTTGTTGTAATCAATTTAACAAAAAAATAGAAAACGGTATGAAAAAACTTAAAAGTTTAAAATAATAAACGTCTCTTTGTGTGAATTTACGTCTTTGTTTGAGGAGTGAGTTTGATGAGTGAGGAGGAGATGAAGAAGAAGAAGTATTAAAAATAGAAAACTTAAAACAATTTAGTGTCAAAAAAGGTTAGGCTCGATAATACTGATGATGATGATGATGATGAAGAGAATGATGATAAGGAGAAGGATTCAAGGTCAGGGGACAACCGGGATAAGGACATTGTGGTCAGGAAAGAGAGAGAGAGAGAGAGAGAGAGAG